CAAAACAATAGTGAGAAGGAAGAACAAATCTGGAGTTTTTTTTACTTCCTTATTTCAAAATATATTTTTAGGCAGTGTCATCTGAACCTTAGTAAGAATAGAATGAAAGACTTCAAAAAGTCTAGTCTAAAGATGAAGCATCTATATATATAAAAGGCTAAGTGTCTGTCTGACTGGTAGCTATGATGCACACTGACCACCAGGGGGCAGATGCTCAACACAGAAGCTGCCATAACACGCACTGGCCATCCTATATAATAAAGAGGTAATACGCAAATTGACCGTCACACCCTCACACAAGATGGCCACCCCCATGTGGACAAAGATAGCCGCCCCCATGTGGTCAAAGATGGCCACCCCATATGGTCACAAGAGGGCCACCACAAGATGGCTGACAGGGGAGGGCAGTTGTGGGTGATCAAGCCAGCAGGGCAGGGCAGTTGGGAGGGACCATGACTGCAAGGGAGGGCAGTTGGGGGCGACTGGGCTGGCAGGGGAGGGCGGTTGGAGGCAATCAGGCAGGCAGGGGAGAAGTTAGGCATAGATCAGGCTGGCAGGGAAGTGGTTAGGGGGTGATCAGGCTGGCAGGCTAGTGGTTGGGAGCCAGAAGTCCCGGATTGTGAGAGGGATGTCCCATATTGGAGAGGGTTCAGGCTGGGCTGAGGAACACCCCCTTCAGTGTGTGAATTTTGTGCACTGAGCCTCTAGTAAAATAATAATCTGACTGATATTAGCCTCCAAATAGATTTTATTGAGTTTTGTTGGAAAATATAACTTCTATTTCCTTAGTGTGAGTAAGTAGCAGAATCCAGGATAAATGAATAGTGGGGAGAGAGTTCTTTCACAGCTATTATATGTAAATCAAATAACTAAGTGCATAACTCATATGTATTCAAAATAGGAAGAAGAAAGAGTAGGAGAAGAAGGAGGAGCAGGAGGAGGATTGGTATCTCTGAAAGAAACTGAAGACCTTTGGTTCTTCTCAGATATAAGGAGAGAGGGAATTCAGTAATAAGGACATCTTTTTGAACAGCATCTATTTTTCTTATTGTTTGACGATAGTGACCACTCTACTTGCACACGAAAAGAGGAAGACATGTGCAGAAAAGGTTAATATTTCTTAAACTTTCCCTCTGTGCCAGACATTTTTAGATGGCATTACATTTGTTCCTCTTAACAATGATGTGAAATTGATATTGATATCACTCTTATGGAAAGAACAAACAGCTAAGACACCATAACTTGCAACATTTCTAATAACTGTTATAGCTGAAAAAAATGAAAACACAGTTACAAATGTCTTTACTGCCTCTTTTTTCCATGAAGTCTTCTATTGGTATACTTCAGTTTCCCATGTTGCTTTTTGATAAGGAAGGAAGATAGACCTTCTTCTTAGGTAAATGTTCTATGGGAGAAGACGAAGCAAGAGAAGACACATGTATGAGCATGTAAAAACATCATTCCAATTCTGAACTTACACATAAACCTTGCTTATTGAAAAATGGATATGAAATATAGTTACTTATATGACAAATGAGGATAACTGAAGATTACCATCAACTTCAAGTGAGTGAAATTTTAATCTCCATATACTTAAAAAAATACAGATATTATTTTATTTTACTGAGTGTGGAGGAAAATCACTTTTTCTTGAAAGTCAAAATAAATCCAGAGTATTCTAGATTTGAATTATTGAGTGTGATTATGGCTTGCCAAATATAAAAGTTTTTAGCTAATCATAAGCAGACAGTTTGAATAATGTTCAATTCAGGGGAAATAAATATAAAAGCTATGTTTGTCAGCTAGTCTTAGATGAATGTCAGTCATGTAACTAAAAGCTTAGACATTGCTGTTTTTGTGTTAATTCCAGGTAGTTTTGCATATTTATGAATGTTTTTTTTTTTTCCTGAGATTGGATATCAACTCAAGTTTTGAATTTAGGTGACACATTTGACACTACACAAGGCTGACAATGTGGACGCATAGGATGTGCTTTGAAAGTTCTGAAAGATCTCTTGTTAAAAGAAGGAAAGAAGAGAAGGAGGAGAAAGGAAAAGAAGATAGGAGAAAAGATAAAAAGGAATAAAAAAAAAGAAAACCATTATGTCAAAAATACCCACTTTATTCTGGGTGGCACAGGACATGTACTGCAATAATAGAACCACCCAAGATATCATTTACAAAAAAAGGAAGATGAATGCTATAGTGCCAATTGTAATTTTATTGCCTTTACTCTTCTTTGCAAAAGTTCCATTTCACTAAATTGGGATGGATTTGTGCAAAGTAGTTAATGTAACACAATAAAATGATGAGGTTGATCGACCTCAGATTTTTTCTTTTACAGAGAAACATGCATACACTGAAGTTTGCTGTGAAACAAACTTGGATCCTAATTTTTCAGAAATATGCTCATTATTGACTGTAGTCGTGACCATGAATGAACACAGAGAATAGCAAGAAATAAAACAATTTTGGAAACATCAGGCAATCTTAATCTTTGCCTATTTCCCCTAATATCTAAGTCTTAATAAAATACAAAAAAATCATGCCAACTATGTCTAAGCTAATAGCCCATAAAACTCAGATAGTAAATGGGTTGGTTATGAAAGTTTAGTACAGTATTTAGCCCTTTTTAAAAAGACAATTTATTGTTTGGTTAGGTATAAAACTGTGCTTCATTAACCCTTTTTCATTATTCAGTAAAAAGCAAAGTATTGATATATTTTAGTAAATCTCATTTTGAAACTAATGGAAATGTTGCAGAATATCAATTCTGAAAACTATGACTTTGCAGATGGTTAATGACAAGGCCAATTTTGCATTAGTAGTATCTTTTATTTAATTCTTTACCAAGTGTTAGATTCTCAAATTTAATACAAATTGAAATAATTTGAATAATTATTTTTAAAAATACAGTGTTACATATGTGTCTATTTTTACCTAACTGCTAAAGCTTTCACATGCCATAGGAAACTTTTTTCTTAGTTCAGCAACAAATTTCATAATAATTTCTAATGTCTTCCAGAGAATAACTCAAATAATTACTAGAAAATACTTAAGAATAGGCCTTTGATTATTTTATCAACAAAAATTTGGGATCCAGTAAGATTCTAAAAACATTGATCGTATCTTTGAACTTAATTCAGAGGACTTTATTATAAACTAGAGACCCAGCACACGATTGAAATTGCACAAGGAAGCATCCCGCAGGGGGCTGGGACCTGCGCCTTACCAGGGTAACACCAGCTGCGGCATTGTGTTGGCTGGGGTGAGGGCATGCTCTGAGCCACGCGGCGGCCGTTCAGAGGGTGGGGACATGCCCCTGGCCATCGCGTTGTGTCTGTTGGGGTGGGGGCAGGCGCTCCTGTGTGTTGTGTCTCTGCTTGGGCCCACCCCAGCCCAGCCTCCCTGCGGCCACTGGGGTGGGGGTGGCACTCAGTCCCCTCCCGCCCATCTGTGCCCAGCTCCTCCTGAGCAGTCTTGACGCTTGGCTTATTAGCATATCTGTTTATATAGATAGATACTAGAGGCCCAATGCACGAATTTGTGCACAGGTGGGGTCTGGTGGGCCTGCCCCGATCCGATCAGGCCAGGCCGACCAGGGGGAGGGGCCACTGCCAATGGGGGTGGGGCTGGCTTGGGGGAGGGGCCTTGGGTGGTTGGTCAGCTGGCCCGGTCCCCTGGTCAAACTCCTGGTCAAACTCCTGGTTGAGGGGACAACTTGCATATTAGCCTTTTATTTATAGGATTATAGAAACTACTTTTACATAATTTTTATAGTTAATATCTTTAATGAAGCCTCATAAAAGAAGTGTGATTTGTCATTATTACTAAGAAAATTTTTGGTGACCAGATGACATTATTCATGACATAACTATATAAAGAAGCCACAGTGATTCATTCAGAAATATACCTTATTTTTCAAGAATTATCCAAATCTAAAATAAAGAACAACTTCCCCCCCTGATAAATTTGACTGGATAAAAAAATAAATCAATAAAAGGGAGGACAACAAAGAAAAAAATCTAAGGAAACTGAAGGAATGATTTTGAAAGTTGTAATTAAATGATAAATATGTGGGGGTGAATTAGTTTGAAATTACTCTACAGATTCCTTTTAATCTCTCCAGTCACCACTTATTGAATGTCAGGAAAGGTTAGTTTAGTGATTGATTTATCTTTTTCCTTTCAGCTTTATTAAGGTATAATTGGCAATTAAAATTGCATACATTTAAGGTGTACAATGTGATGGTTTGATATATGGATATATTATGAAATGGTTACTCACCAATGCATTTTTAAAATATAGACTATATTTCAATTGGAAGAGTGAAATGAAACATGGAGGGGTTCTAGGCACAATGTTTAGGGGGGGACCCAGAGATTTTTATAAAGCAAATCCATTAAGACAATTACTCCCATTCACTCTCCTTCACCACCCTCAAACCAGTGAGAGACATTATTAAGCACGTACTCTTTAAACCTCAAAAAGACATGTTACTGCTTTTCCCTTGCTCATTTGTTAGAGCAAATAGTCTCTAATCCCTTTTAGATTTTTTGGGAGCAATGCAAAATAAGTCAATACTGCTTTTAAAATACTAAGATGAAATATAAAAAGTAGATTTTTAACTAGAGAATGATATTTGTGCCATAATACCATTTAGATTGACAGAGCTATGTGAAGGATTTTATTAAAACACTTATCTCTGTCCTTTTTAAAAGTTGATATGGGATTTTTGGACTGGAACACGCAGTATTCCCCTGGGCAGGATGGTTTCCCCGGCTTTGTCAGTCGGAGTCGAGGAATGAAACCAGGGACGGAAGATGGTATAGCAAAGGTGGAAATTTATTGAAGAACAGGTACAGACTCCCACATGGGGAAGGAGGAAGAATCTCACAGCACAGACTCCACATTGGGGCGGGTGTGGGGGGCGCTGCGGGGGGGGGAAGAGTCTCACCGAGTTCCTTTTTGCCCCTTGTTTATAAAGGCTGAAGTTTTTGTGCCTCAATATCCTCTCTGATTGATTGGCCACTGTTCTCCTTTGATTTGGTTACTATAGCAACTTCTGAGCTCAAAGGTCAAACCTCACATGGTATGTGAGGCCCTTCTTCTTTATTTTGTAAATATAGACCTTTTGCTACGCCCAGTTCCCTTATCTCATGGAAATGTAACTGCTGCCTCTCCCAACTACCCTGTCTTATGGAAAGGTAACCTTTTGCAGCTTTTCAGCCTGTGCTTTTTCCATGGACCCCCCTTAATTTTAAAAATGCCTTAAACCTGACTATTTTACCCTTAAAAATTTCAATTTCAAAATACAAGTTTTGAACATGAATTTATGTAAGTGAACTGCTATACATTTGAAATTCACAATAGGATAGTATTATATCTTATATTTTTTACCAGTAAAGAATTTGAAAAATGAGACACTCCTCTAGAAGTTATTGGACAGAGACTGACAACAGAATAATTGAATGTGAAGGAATAATTAAGTAAAAAAAAAAGAGTGAGGTGGGATTGCTTTTGTGATCCATTTCATAAATGTAAAGCTAATAGGTTGAATTAAAGGAATAGTTCTGCAAAATATCTTCTATTTAAGTTCAAATACTAGTGGAGGAGAGACCAAAGTCAAATCTAAGTATATAATTTAATGCAAGTAGATGAGTCCATTCAAAGACATTTGAAAATATAATTAGTAATTTAGAAAGTGCCTTTTTCCATGGAATCATTACTATACAAAGTAATTGAATTGCCTTTGATTTAAAAGAGAAAAAAAAAAGAGGTAGCCATTAAGTTTTATTGCTATATCCCAAACAGTTTTTTCTGTAGTACTCCTAAAGCTTCATATACGCATATCATATTACTGTATGTCATTGGTAATTTTTTTTTCTCATCATGGTACTCAGTGAATGACTATTAGGAGCATTAAATGTATAGGAAAATATTTTTCCTGATAGAGATAAAAATAAATGTAGTCTTTTTTCAGAAATATTAAAATAGCAACACATTTATATGTAAATTATAATTGGTGTGAAAATAACTTTTTCTTTTTTCTATGAATCTTAACTACATTCCTGATCAATTTCATATTAGACAAATTTTAAATTCTCCACATTCTTTGAGTAAAGTGCACATAGACAGAACTCTGGTTCAAATCCTTTCTCATATCTGCTGTTAATATTTATTTAAAAGGAATCTCTTCTGTTTTCTCTTGAAAGAAAATAAAATTATTTTGTATGTTCTATCTACAGTTGTTATTTTATCCCTTGATCACATCAGACATCTAACATGTACAAACACTTTAAAATTATTGTCATAAATTCTCTTTTCCATTTCCTTTAATAATTTAATGTTATTTTTGGTCATTTTAATGAGAACTTGGAATGGAGAACAAACATAAATAAATTCATTTTGCCAGAGGACAAATTGTGAAATTAAACTTTCTGAGTTCAAACCCTCTCAGCTACCCACTGGCAGGGTATTATCAGGCAAGTCACTTAACTTCTCCATACCTCAGTTTCTTCATAGATTGAGTGTAGATAATGATGGTATCTACTTCATAGGGAATTTATGAGAATGGGATGAGTTGATATTGATACATCACCTATATGAGCACTTGTCATATGATCAGTGAAACCAAAGTTTTTTTATAAATCAAAGGTAAAAATCTTTATTTAAACGACATCACAAATATTTTCTAATATTAAAAAAACCTCATTTTAGTACATTAGATTATAATCTTTATAACTCTATATAGAAAGACTAAGCACACTTAATTTTTCTCCAGTAATAAATCATAATTTATTACAAAATTCAGTAGAATCATGTGCAATTCGTGATATATACAGGGTGTCATAAAAAATTATACACACTTTTTTCTGATAGCTTAATTGATGTTTCTTTTCAGATTTAACCCATTAGAATTAATAATTATTCAATGTATGTATATATTTTTGAGACATCTTGCATATTCTATAGATAATATACAGAAAAATCAGGCTGTAACTTTCTCGACCAATATTCACTAATATTAACTTAAACACATAACTTCTCACACACAATTGTGACATATGGTCATATGCATTTTTAATAATTATTTACCAGATCACAATCTTGCTTTAAAAGAACACATCACATTTTGTAATGTTGGAAAGTGCTTGAAATATGACAGTTAAACATGTCAAGAGCTTTTGCACACTTATTGAGAACAACTGTAAATTTTTTATTACAAAATGTCATACCCTGTTAAAACATTAATAGATCATGAGCTTTACAGTAAAGCTCTTCAGTTTCATTCAGCATTCCAATTTTTCTATCATGTTTTTTCTCACATGAGTTATTATTTTAATTCTGTGAGATTCAGAAAAAAAATGATCTCTGTATTAAAGAGACTACCTCATATAACTTGGTTATTTTGAGATTGTTAGCTACAATTGCTAGGTAGGAGAGGAGGAATTGTTGAGCCTTTTAGAAAACTCAATGAGCAGGCTTGCTTGTTCTGCCCAATCATTGTGAAGTTCCCAACATCGTAGGCCAATTTAATGTTCTACAGAATGTAGAGAAAGTCCAGATCCATTTCAATCATATCACAGGAGAGAAGAGTTATCCATATTCATAGAGCAAAACTGTCAGGGAATATTATTGTATGTTCCATATAAATGTGAACTATTTGGGGTCAGCTTTCTTATCAGTATAGAAATTAACACATTGACTAAATCAATGATCATACACCTATTCCTGAGTCCTTATGATACTTCCTAGTAACAGCACCAGCCATCACAGCTGTGATCAGAGCTTCTGCATTGATGAATTAGCAGTAGTTTATAGACATTCTCTAGGTTCCTTCCAGTTGTTGCATGTGTCAGACCAGTGAAGCAGAGTTATGATAGGCAATACCACCTTTATAAACTGTAGATTTTAAGGGTAGTGCTTATTGCTGCATTTCCCCACTTGGAGATAAAATATTGTGTGTTTTTCTCTCTTGGCCAGAAAGGGGGAAGTTTCAAAGACTTTACATGGCCTTCTGCATTATGGCACTCCTTACCCGAGGACAAGCAGCTTGATGAGGAGGTTCTTCTAACTTCCAAGTATGTCAAAATAATATCTTTTCTAAACTAATCATTATATAGAATTTCAGGAATAAATTCTAGGGTTTTTTTTTGGTAAAATAATACCATTATTGAGATAAGTTTATTTTTTTTTCTTATTAAATGCACATTTAATGACATGCTTTTCCAGTGGCCCAAAAGGAAAACTAAACACCAATGTTTGTAAAAAAAGGAAAATCCTGATTGAAACTCTTAGTGCTGTCTGAATTCCTGAAGCAGGTAAGCTATATAATATTTTATAAGAAAACTAGAGGCCTGTTGCATGAAGAGATTTGTGCAATAGGCCTTCCTTTCCCCTGGCTGCTGGCACCGGTTTGCCTCCAGCACCCGGGGCCCAGGCCTTTGCTCTGGCTGAGTTCTGGCCGGAGCCGGCCCTGGAAACATCAGGTTTCACTGCTCCGCCGGCCCCGGGCTGTCAGGCTTCGCTCCACCGCATGGAGCCTACGTATTCAAATTAACCGCTATCTTTGTTCGTGGTTAATTTGCATATTGCGCTGATTTGCCAATAGGAGGCGTAGCTAAGGTATGGCCAATTACCATGTTTGTCTATTATTAGATAGGATAGTATTTTAAGTATGTATCATACCTAAATCCAAGTAGAAATCCTGATGAAGTAATCATATCTCTAATTGCTTTGCATATAAATGATATTTGTAGAGTTTTTAAAATTGTATTCATCTTGTGGGCATTTAATATATATTTATAGACTTTGTTAATGTGTTTACTACAGTGTTCCTAAAAAGTGAAAAATCAACCTGAGGTTCTGTTATGAAATATACCAAGCCAATCAAATGCCATAATTAGTTCTATTTCTTCTTTTATTTCCATTAAAATGTACAGGAATATTCTGTCACAAAAACATGCCAGAAAGATGATGGACTCCCTAGTGATTTTATCTTCCAATAAATATAACAGAGTCCCTAATATTGGGAAGTCTAACCAGTTAGTAACCTATATGTAACCATTCAGCTGAGAGCTGTGAGCACAAATATAGGTAGTTGGTTTTAAAAGTGCTAATGTTTGGACCTCTTTCTAAAGTTCTTAAATATATTTATTGCGTATAACAAAATTGTTTCACAATATTCTCCACAATTAAACTTATTATATTCCAACTACATTTTAAAAAGCACATATGACAAATACTTTCTTTTGCTTTTTAACTATAGCTTCAGGACTAGATTAATCTGACATTCAATACCAGAATAACTCATTCCATTTATGTGACCTTGGATATAATTAGCATTTTTCGTATCACTGGTCACCCACAGCGTTAGGATAATTGCATCACCTTTCATGGCTCTTGTGTGAATGAGATATATGCAAAGCCTCTTCATTATAGGCACTAAAATAAGTATTATTTTGCTTTTGATTCAAGTGTTTGCTTTTTTCTATATTATTAAAATAAAATAAGTTTTTTGTATAACTAATTATATGGAAGCATAGCCCAAGAAATGATGGATTTGTGTTTCAAAATGTTAAAAAAATATCAGTATTTAAATTGTAACCATTTAAAAATTGTATTAGTGTAAATTTGTCTTATTAGGAGAGGTGTTATTTTCTGAATCCATATCATACTTAAGAAAACACAAAATGAGGAACTTAAAAGACTGATGACAGTCCAATTATATTTAGTTCTTTGGGATCATTTAAAATGCACAGAGTGCAGGAACGACAATAACAATTCCTGAAATTAAGTGGGTTGCCGAACTTAATAAGTACCTGCATACATTTTGCTGAATTTGAGGTTCTAGAACATATGACAGAAACTTAACTATATAGGGGCAGCTAAAAATTCCTTATTTAGAATCAACAGCTTTTCTAAATGATGAAGAAGAAAGAATGTCATTTAACTTTCTCTGAATTTCTAAATTTTCCCCAATATGCTGTGCATATTTATTTATGTTGCAAGTCCACAGAACTGCAAGCACACAGCCCTACACAACAGAAATTATAATTTCTATCAGAGCTTTGTGAAAACAGAGCAGAACCCATTATCTAAATGTTTTTGGGATTAATATTTTCATGAGCAGACTCAGTCAATCAAACAAATAAGCATCTTTATTTTGCAGTCATTAAATGGTGTATAAACAGGGTGGGGCAAAGTAGG